TCCTCCTCCTCCTCCTCCTCCCCCAGTTCCTCCTCCCTCCTCCCCGTCGGACTCTCCGAAACGACAATGCGACCAACAAGGTATCCCCAAATCCTGCCGAATGCACGCAAGAATCCCCTGGGCAAGAGTGGTTTTGGGCGCGCGGCCCCAGGGGGGCGCTCCGCGGCCCCCTGAAGCCGCGCGCCCAACGGCCGCCACTGGGGGGCCAAATCCATGCGCGTAGGCCATCGCCGGGGGAACCTAATGCAGAAGAAGAAACAACACGTAAAAAAAACTTGTGGCGCTCGGCGCGGGTTTCTTGGATTCGCGCTGGCCCCCCCTCCCTGGCGCGCGGAGCGCGCCATGGGCGGCGCCGGAGGTGCCGCTGGGAGGCCCAGGCGCGGAACCAAGAGATCCGCGCGCGCCAGAAGTTTATGTTTATGTGGTTTTTGCTTCTTCGATAGTGGGCCCGCACCAAACCAAAGCATCGGATGTCCTGATTTGGTCCAGCACGGGGCTGCCGGAAATCCAGCCCCTTTCCCCCGATAGGTCGGCTTTCGACGGTCCTGGGGCCCAGCGAGAGCCCCCAGAAGCGACAAAATTGCCAAAACCTCACGGCATGTTGTTCCACGACGCGCATGTCCAGAAGAAAAGAACAACTACGTAAACAGGACCTTTCGGGGTTCCGCGAGGAATTTTTGGAGTTGCGCTGGGCCCCTGGACAAGAAATCCGCGCGGAACCTCCGCGCGGAGCGCCGATCCGAGAAATCCGCGCGGAACTCCAACAGTTCACGTGTGTGCATGTTTTCTCTGGATGCTTGACTTCGGATCCGCCTGGGCGATGTCGTAGTCGGCCCGTATCGTAAGGATGCGCAATGAGGATGCAAGGGCCTTGGACGCCTATGTCAAAGCTTCTCGAGCGCGGCGCGGCCAACAGAAATGGCGAAGGATAGACCGCGGAGGCAAGGATTGCAATGATTCCAAGGGAATTTGCCCATCCCTACGATGCGTGCTGACCTTGTCTCCTTCTGGATGTTTGACTTCGGATCCGCCTGGGCAATGTCGTAAGCGGAGCGGACATGCCTGCCTCACGGTTCAAAATCCTTTGATGTAGATGTTTGCTCTGCTTTGCCGTCGCTGTTTATGCTATACTCTTGTTGACATGACCGCCTTCTTTTTTGGGGGGACACTTCCGCCCTGCCTTTTCGCATCGTTCGGGGAGCATCTTCGGCATAATCCCACAAGTCCTCTGGGAGTGGGTGGTCTGACGATTTCTCTCTTTCCTCTTCAAGGATCCCTTTCTTCCACTTCGGGGAAGGGTGTATCAATGCTCCCTATGAGTAAACACCCCCTCCCCCACCTGACCGGCAACCAACCCGGACCCATGAAGGCACCCCCCTCCACCACACGTCAAAAAACAACACAAAATACACTTGGCCTCCAAATCTGGAGCATGCGCAGGCGCGCCGCGACCACATTGCATTTGTTGTTGAATGGGGCGGCGGGGTTGCTGGCATATCGCTCGCTGCGCGCAGGCCAGCACCACCCCCCAATCATCCCTTGAAGAAAATAATCAATGCATTTTGCACCAAAATCTGGATCATGCGTGGACGTCCCCCGATCACTTTGCATGTGACAGGAACAGAACCGGTACCAACATATCGCCTGCTGTGTGCAACGCCAGCACACCCGACCCATGCCTTCATTTTTTGTTTTTAACAAAAAATCCTGCAAGGACGCTTCGCGCTCACATTGCATCCGTTTTTGACGAGAATGGCAGGGGGTCTGCATATTGCAGGCTTCGTAGGCCCGCCATCCTTCTCAACAGATAACGCAAAAACCCAGTTGACCATGGACGGCGGGGGAGGTGCGGCATACGGCCTGCTTCGCGCAGGCCCGCAACCCCCGTCAACCAGCACATGCAAAACGCTCGTGGTCGCACGCCCGCGCGCAAAAAAACAGGCCATCGCCTTGTTTTGAATTTCGGCAGGGACGGTTGGAGGGTCGACATTGACAACCTACCAAACCACCACAACCCAACCCGAAGACCCGAAGTTCGGGTTTGGGGGGTTGGGGTTCCATACGTGTTTTTCCATGTTCCCGGACCCCTCCCATTGGGAATGGAGGGCAAATTGAAGCCTTGGGGTTGGGTCGGGGTGGTTTGGTGGGCAGTGAGACATACTGCCAAATGTGATGCGCCCTGAGCGCGTGGCGCAGCTGGCTTGTGCGGCACACCTCGCGGGCTTCGCGCGCCTGGCTGGCGTCTACATGAATTCCGGATGGTTGTCGACGGCGGCCGTGTCCATGCTGAGGCTCGGTTGCTACTTATGTTGGGAGGGCGGGTGGAAACGAGCGAGACGGCTTGCTGTTTGATCGCTGTTCCCTAGTAGTAACCCCCCCAAGCGACTGGGGGCCAACCAGGGTCCATGTAAAAAACAATACAAAACACAGTATGCCTCCAAATTCGGAACATGTGCAGCCAACCCGATGCGCCCCCCCCCACCATCCCTGTCAAAAACATTACAGAGTACACTTGGCGGCGGCGGCGGCTGCGGCGGCTGCGGCGGCGGCGACTGCGGCGGCTGCGACGGCGGCGGCGGCGGCGGCGGGGGCGGGGGCGGCGGGGGCGGCGGGGCGGGCGGCGGCGGCGGCGGCGGCGGCGGAAGCGGCGGCGGCGGCGGTGGCGGCGGCGGCGGCGGCGGCGGCAGCGGCTGCGGCGGCGGTTTGGCAGCGGGGGCGGCGCGGCGGCGGCGCGGCGGCGGGCGGGGCGGCGGCGGCGGCGGCGGCGGCGGCTGAGGCGGCGGCGGCGGCGGCGGCGGCAGCGGTGGCGGCAGTGGCTGCGGCGGCGGCGGCGGTTTGGCAGCGGGGGGCGACGGCGGCGGCGGCGGCGGCGGCGGCGGCGGCGGCGGCGGATTGGCCCCCAGTAGCTGCCCATCCCAAGACGACTGCTGAATATGCTCAGGCTCGGGCGGCGCTACGTATGTGTTGGGAGGGCGGGTGGGAGTGAGCGAGACGGCTTGCGGGCGGGGAGAGGGTAACTTGACCCCTCCCCCTACCCCCTCCCAGTGGTCTGGATGGGAGGAGGGCAGAGGTGTCAAGGGATCCCTTTTCGCACAAAATGGCTCTAAAGGGGCCGCCGATGCTCCAAGATGGCCTCCGATATGGCTCAAGATAGCCGGAGACAGTTCCACATGGCTTGAGATATCCAAAATGGGCCACAAGACGGCTCCAAGTGCTCTCGAAGCCACCCTGGCATCCCCCCAAGAGCTCAAAATCCTCCAAGAACCAATGGGAAATCAATGAATCTTGTGTTCTCGCCTTTTCGCGTCCGATGGGCTTCTGAGGCCTCAAGAAGGCCCCAGGATGGCGCAAGAGAGTCCCATGAGTCCCATGATGGGCCCAAGATGCCGCTCAAGAGCGCCCCAAAAGGGCCCCAGAAGACGGTTCTGAGGGCTCTTGACCCCCTTGGCTTCCAACAGGGCCCCACGACCCAGAAATCCAGCCCCAAGGAGCCCCAAGAGGGCCCCGGGAGAGCCCCCCAAGAGGGCCTCAAGAAGATCAGCTCTCATCGGCAGCGTTTCTGAAGTGGCGGATGAGGATATGCGAAGCGTGAAATGAATCCCACCAGCCCTTTGGGCGTGAGTGGTTTAGGGAGCTCTCTCTGTTCTCAACCCCCCTTCTTCCCCTTCGGGGAGGGGTTTACCCCTCCCCCTACCCCCTCCCCCTGGACCTGGAGAGGGGGTTCCGCGGGTCGTTGGAGGGGTCTTTTTCGACTCCTGGGAGGGCTAAAAAACGACGACCCTCACGAGGATTCTGGCCCCGACGGGGGGGCGGAGACAGGTCCCTCTCCTCTTCTTTGAAGCCAGAATCATTAATTTTACTACGGTTTTGGCCCCATGTTGGCCTCCTGAGGGGGCCGCGCTCATCTTCCTTCATAGCAAAATCATTGTTTTTACGAAGGTTTTGGGCTCATTTTGTCCTTCTCAAGGGGGCAGCGCTTATTTGCGCTTCTGAGGAGGTCGCAAGAGGCCCCAAGATGGCCCCAAGAGGCCCCCAGGAGCCTCCCAAGAGGCCTCCAAGAGGCCCCCAAGAGGCCCCCACGAGGCCCCACGAGGCCCCCAAGAGGCCCCCAAGAGGCCCCCAAGAGGCCCCCAGAGGCCCCACGAGGCCCCCAAGAGGCCCCCAAGAGTCCACCTACGAAGGGCCCGAAAAACTCGCACGCGGACGAGGTGCCCACACGCCTCACCTCACAAGGAGGATGCACAAGGAGGCGGGAGGAAGGAGGAACAGGGGAGATATGTGGGGCCAAGCGGACACACGCCTGAAAAACACGACTGTCGGCATGCTTCGCGAGAGTTGCTGCTGTGAGATGGGCTGGTGGGGATACGCGAAGCGTAAAGAATTTGAAGCAGGAAAAAGAGGCCACCTAGGGGCGGTCGGAGTAGATGCGGTCGGAGGGTCGCGCCGCATCGATCGGCGATGCAGCGGCGATGCATCGGGGATGCACCGGCGACGCATCGTCGACGGCGGCGACACATCGGCGACGCCGACGTGAAACACATCGGGTTCCACATCAAGCCGCATCGGCGATGCATCGGCGAGGCTGCGGGATCCTCCGACCCCATCTGCTCGGACCCCATCTAGGAGGCCTAGAGGAGAGGACCAAATCCGATTCCAAAATAATCGCCCCGACACTCGACGTCGTGTAGCAAACGCGCCCAAAGAAGGAATCGAACAGGGCAGGGCTGTTTAGTAAACGCCCGGGGCCGTCGAGCAAACGCCACTCATCGGATCTGGGTGGCTTGTCCTCCCTTGATGTATATATATATATATACAAAACCATAAACACAACAAACAAATAAAACAAACAAGCAAAAAAAAACAGCGGATCCGACGCCGGGGCCGCGGGAGGTCCCTCCTGACCAGGGTCGCTGCCTCACGCGCGGCCGGCCCCCCCGCACCCGCCGGCGCCTCGGGCAGGTCCCGCGGCGGGGCCGGGCCCGCCGCCGCGGGGCCCAGGCCGCAGGGGAGGGGGGACGCGACCTCCGCGTGGAGGCTCTCGTACTCCTGGCGCGGGCTCCTCGCGTCCTTCCTCCTCGACGTCCTGATGAACCCAGAGAGCCAACGCGTTGACAAAAAATCAAAGGCGGGGGGTTTTCTCCAATTTCGGCCTCTATAGGGGCCTCGCCGGGCCCTGGGACTGTCAACAAAAACGACTCCGGACGAAAAACCGGTCCTGGGGAATGGGTCGAGACTTCCAGGGGTGGCGCAGTACAAAAATTACGACACCAGATCTCTGGGTACCGCTCCCAGTGGCTGGCTCCACAACGGCCCAGTAAGGTCCTGGTCTTGGTCTCGATCAAAATCGCCATGAATCCGCACTCCAAAAAATGCCGCACCGAGACCACGACCGCGACCAGTACTGGACTCGGCCGTGGTCCGGGTGCATAATTCCGGCGGCATTCAATAATGCCGCCAGGAGGCCAGGGCCGGGACCAGTCGCAGCCGCTGGAGCCAGACTTCGGCCATCCCATCGGCTTTAGGGATGTAAGCCGATGGCGTCCAGCCACTGGGACCTGGGGGTTGGACGACATCGGGGCCAGTGGTTTGTGGCAGCACGGGTCTCCCGCAAGCTGCCCCACAGTCACCCCAGAGTCTCCAGTGCTGCCGCGTGGCCGTGGCGAAGCGGTCTATGGGGCCACGAAACAAAGCGAGGGGGCCACGAAGGGCTGCAACAGGGCCACGAAGGGCTGCGACGGGGCCACAACGGGCAGCGAGGTGGCCACGAAGGGCTGCAACGGGGCCACGAAACAAAGCGGGGGGGCCACGAAGGGTTGCAACGGGGCCACGAAGGGCAGCGAGGAGGCCACGAGGGGCCGCAACGGGGCCACGAAGGGCAGCGAGGGGGCCACGAAGGGCTGCAACGGGGCCACGAAACAAAGCGGGGGGGCCACGAAGGGTTGCAACGGGGCCACGAAGGGCAGCGAGGAGGCCACGAGGGGCAGCAACGGGGCCACGAAGGGCAGCGAGGGGGCCACGAAGGGCTGCAACGGGGCCACGAAACAAAGCGAGGGGGCCACGAAGGGCTGCAACGGGGCCACGAAGGGCAGCGAGATCCCGATTCTTGGGTAATCTGTGAGGGAGTCCTAAGCGTGAGCGCGACTCCTGGGTGCCTGGGTGTCGGGAGCGCGGCGCTTCAGTAAATTGTACGAAATTCCAACGCAAGGGCGCTATTCTTCAGTAAATTGCAAGCGTGATACCGGAGAAAAAACCCAATCATATTTTTTGAATCTTCCAATTGCTCCCTTGGGAGCGTGCACGTCGCCTCTTTCAATAGAGCTATATGGGCTATAGGGATATAAGGCTATTAGGGCTATAGAGATATAAAGCTATAGGGCTACAAGGCTATAGGGCTATACGGCTATAGGGCTATAGGGCTATAGGGCTACTGGGCTATTGGACTATTGGGCACCTCCTGGCTCCCTGGCACCCCCGGGCACCAGGCACCCGGGCACCCGGGCCCGGCCAACGAAATCGGCCACGCACCTCACCGGCCACCCGGGCACCCAAGCACCGCCGGGCACCGCTGGGCACCCGGGCCCGGCCACCGAAATCGGCGACGCACCTCACCTCACCCTTTACTCCTCTAGGACCCCTACAGAGGCAAGCTCTGGTTGGGGAAATTCTCCAGCGAGAGCGCGACTCCAGAGCGCCGGGAGAGCGATGCCTGAATAAATTGTAAGGAAGTCCCAGGCGAGAGCGCGATTCCTGAATCAAATGCATGGAGGTCTCGGGCGGGAGCCGGGGTCCTGGCTAAATTGTAAGGAAATCTCAGGCGGGAGCCGTTGTTGTTGTAACCCGGGGGCCAGGGGCCCAGTTTGAGCCTCAAGACTTTCCCTCATAAAAAACAAGGTGCGAGCGTCGATGGGGCTCACTTTGATGTAGAAACTACAGTATGCACCAGTGGAGGGGGGATCAACAATCAGGAATGAAAATTCAACGCAAGAGGCAGAATTCTCACCACGGATCCGCACTTCAGCCACGCACCCAGGGACAATGAATGACCGTTCGGCCCCCTCACTCTGATATACATACACACATATATATATACGTATGTATCAACATCTGTGTGTGTTCGATGGCAATGGCGGTGGCGGAGAAGATCGAATTCTCCGGAGGTCTCCAAGGAGTCACTGCCGGGTGTCTCTTGACGGGTCTGGAGCCCGCTGGAAGCCGCAGAACGCACAGAGACACAAGCAAGAACTACCAGGGCCGACCACCAAAAAAGAGGGTCACCGATACAGCGACCGCGCCCGATGACGTGGGCGTCCCGATCATCTGCATCGCGAGGCCGCGCTAGTGACAGACAGTATTGAGGGTGCTGGGGGCTCGCCCCCTATCCCGTGCAGATGGTGGAGGGAGGCGGAGGAAGGAGGAGGAAGGAGGAGGAGGAGGAAGAGGAGGGAAGGAGGAGGAGGAGGAAGGAGGAGGAAGTAGGAGGAGGACCGAGGAGGAGGAGGAGGAGGGAGGAGAGGAGGAGGAGGGAGGAGGAGGAGGAGGAGGAAGGAGAAGAGGAGAAGGGGGAGGAGGTGGAGGACGAGGAGGAGGAGGAGGACTGAGGACTGAGGAAGAGGAAGAGGAGGAGGAGGAGGAGGAGGAGGGAGGAGGAGGAGGAAGAAGGAGCAAGGAGGAGAAGGAGAGAGGAGGAGGAGAAGAGGAGGAGGCCGAGGGAGGAGGAGGAGGAGGAGGAGGAGGAGGAGGGGGAGGAGGAGGAGGGGGAGGAGGAGGAGGAGGAGAAGGAGGAGAAGGGGGAGGAGGTGGAGGACGAGGATGAGGAGGAGGACTGAGGACTGAGGAAGAGGAAGAGGAGGAGGAAGAGGAGGAGGGAGGAGGAGGAGGAGGAGGAGGAGGAGGCGGAGGACTGACAACTGAGGAAGAGGAGGAAATACCGAGGAGGAGGACCTCTCCCTCTCCTTCCCCTCTTCGTCATCAACGGTCAGCGTGGGAGCGTCTGGATAGACACGGGTCCGACATCGCCCAGGCGTCCAGGAGGGTGATTGCTATGAGGGATGCGGATCCTGACATACAGTCGGGGCGTTGACCTAAGGAACCCAAAATAAGGAGCGAGTCCCCTTTTTCCCATCAGTTAAACTTCGATTTCGCATGGAAAACCTGAGGCAAACGCAGGGCAAACTGTGAAACCATCAAAGAACACCGAACCCCTCCCCAACGACAAGGGTTCCTTCTTCAGCGGCCCGACTGTAAACGGTTCCTACAACCTGGGGCTTTCGCCCTAAAAACGAGCTGTTCATCCTGAGCCGTTTCTTGACGGTCCTGGGGCATGGGAGGGGCCCGGGAACTCGAGAACGGCGAAACAAAGGACGCGAAGAGCCCACTTCCCTCAGGACCCGTGTGCTTGATGGCGGGAGGATCGGCCGAGATGGCCCAGAGCCATAATATGCCAGGATTTCTGGAGTGTCTGGCAGCCCTCGGTTTTGCAGCCCACGTGGAACATGAAGAAACATCTGGGAACTGTGGGAATCCTGGAAATCCAGGAACGCATCATTATCATGACATCTTACAGTACGGGCGCGGCCGCAATAACCCCTCGCAAGAAACCCAGCCCTGAAAACCCGAGCGCGAGGTGCACCTGAGGGAAAACCAACAGCACCCTGAACGCAGAAGCTTCTTCAACGGTTGCGGGAATTCACTGCGCAGCGCGCGGAGAGAAGAAACCCATGACGAACAACAAGGTTTCTTGATGCGCGCCCCCACTGTGCTCCTCTTTCGGTGGCAACTCATGGGAGCCTCCCACACCATCTTGTCGGCTCTTGCGAATCGACACTCATCGACGCTAAATCGACGTTGATCGGCGCTAGCCAACGCTAAATCGGCGCTATCTCAAGATTCCCAGACGCTAATCGACGCTAGTCGACGCTAAAGGCGGAATTAAGAGGACATACGAAGCTCCCATGATTTGCCAGCGAATCCTCTGGGCGAAGGACGACGAAGGCAACAACGAGCGCTCCTGGGCGAGCTCGAGCAGCCTCTGCCGGAACAGGCGCGGCTGCATCGTCCGCCGCGCCGATGGGGGGTTCCCGCCGCGGCCGCCACGCCCAAGCAGTGCCAGTGGGGAGCACCACCCTAGACATGCTCGCATCGTTCGGCGGCGAGCCCGGGGGGAAGTGAGAAAGAGAAGGCCTTCTCAGAATGCTCGGAAGTCCCCGGGCCTTCTGAGAGAATGTCGAAGCCTTCCCCGGAGGCGCAGAACACCTCTCAGAAGGCGCGAGGGCTTCTGAGGAGTCCCGCCGCCTCCAGAGAGGCCCTCCTCCTCACTCTCCCCCCCATCGCTCCCCGCCGTCTCGTGACACAGTCACGAAAGGAGGTTGTCGGGACGATCTTCGACGCCTGGAGGCGCCCTCGCCGGGCCCCGGGAGCATCAACAAAAAGACGCGGGATGCCCCCTTCAGGAAGGACTCCCCGGGGGGTGCGCAAAGGAACGTAAAAGACGCCGCGCGGATCCTCAACCCTGCCCACTCCTCGATCCCCGACTTCCGCCAGGAAGGCAGGAGAGTCAGAATCGAATCGATAAGTCGAATCGGCGATCGACATGAAGCGGACCGTCGGAAATCGGCAGCCAAGTCGGGAGGAGTCGAGAAGGCAGAACTCGGCAGAGCAGTCATGCCTCACTGAGAAATCGAAATCCAGTCGGGATCCGAAGCCGAAGCCGCATCGGAATCGGACTCCATCCACATCGAAGCGAGGTCGAGTCGAATCGGAGGCATCGAAACGAGCCGTGCCCTGCGGTCGGGACCTTCCGCTAAGCTTGGCGGCGCGCACAAGGGGGTGGGGGGGGGGGGGGAGGGCTCCTTAGAAGCAGGCTGCTTCTTAGAAGGCGCCGGCCTCCTATGGACAAGGCCCGCTCCTTCCAAGAAGCAGGGGTGCTTCTAAGAAGCCCCCCCCCCTCCCCCCACCCCCCTTGTGCGCGTGGCTGCCCAGCGTGTCGCCCCGGGGGCCCGGGCGACGCGCCGTGCCCTGAGAGCGGCGTGGAGCGCTCCGCTCCGCCGATCGCGGGGCGGGGCACTCTCGGCAGGGCTCTCTCGGGGCGCTGGCGCCTGGGGGCCGCAGCAGTGGGATGGCGCGTCGCGCCGGAGCGGGGTGGGCCAGAGCCGGAGGAGCGGAGGAGGAGGAGGAGGAGGGGGAGGAGGAGGAGGAGGAGGAGGAGGAGGAGGAGGAGGAGGAGGAGGAGGGGAGGAGGAGGAGGAGGAGGAGGAGGAGGAGGAGGAGGAGGAGGAGGAGGAGGAGAGGAGGAGGAGGAGGAGCAAGAACAGGAGGACTCGATGCCACCCAAAATTCCCGACCCTCCTGGTGCCCCCCCCCCTGGCACCGTCCGAGCCGCAAGGCGCAGGGGGCGCGGGGCGCGCGCCCGACGGCCGGGTGGGGGGGGGGGAGCGGCCGGGCAGCGGCTTGTCTTGCTACATCTGTCCGTGCGTGCTCACAGGCATCCGCATCCTGCCTCTTGTGACGCTGCTGGTTCCTTTCGGCATCCCTCGGTTTGTCCCCCCTCCTCTTCTGCCTCCTCCCCACCCTCTCAAACCCCTGTCTCTCTTTCCCGCCCCCTCTACCCCTCCCTCGCCGCCGGCCCCCGCCCGCCCCTCAGAAGGCGAGCTCCGCGTGACGACACATCCGGCGGCGTGATGCTTTCTCCATCCGCGGCCCCAAAGAGGTTCCGACCGCTTCCTCGCGGGCCATTTGCCCGGGACGATCGACATGAGTACCAATCGGGCGAGTGGTAATGGCAATGAGGGGTGACCTACATGGGGGGTGAGGAAGAGGGCCCCAGAGAAACCCTTTAGGACCCCTTTTTGGCCCCTGCTGGCCCCAAAGGGGCCCAAAAGGGGCCCCTTTGGGGCCCTTTTCTCCCCACCCCCCCATGTACGTCACCCCTCCGTGGCAGAGGCGGCCAAGAGGGGGGCGGCCAGGAGGGAGCGCACATCATGGCTTGTGGCACGTGCGCGGCCCAGGTGGGGGAGGGGGGGGTGCGGGGGCGCATTGAAATAAGAGGCGCCATGACATCTGGGGAGATATCATAGCCCCCGCCATGACATCTGACCCCCCCCTACGTAGTCATCCCCCCCGCTTGGCCGCCCCCGACCACTGCCGCCAGCCCGAACGGAAAGAGTGGGCACAAGGGCCGGTGCGCCCGCACAACGCCTGTCATCGTGCCCCTCCCTCCCGCTCCTCCTCCACCGCGCATGCACTGGCCTGCCCACACAAAAGCCCACAGGTCGAGCCAGACCCTGATCCCTGCGTGGAGTCTTTGTGGCGCCAGGGGAGCCAAGGCAAGCAAGAACCAAGCAGGGCGGAGGAGGATGAGGAGGGCTGGGATCGGGAGGGAACAACTAGGCACACACACACAACTAGTCGTCCATGCCCAGGAAAATCTGGAACGCAAGTGGGAAGCGGAGGGGAAGCAATCCAAAAAACATGCGAACATGTGTGGGGACCCCTGGGACGCGTGGCTACTTGTTCGTGTGACCCTGGGCCCCCTTTCTAGGACAGGGGCCAGGAGCAGCAGGGGGAGGCCGGCCTCGACCGGGGGACGCCCGCCTCGACGCCCGCAGAAGACCCCCCGAGGCCGCGGACGAACGGCGGGTGCCGGGGCCGCTCCCGCGGCGGCGGCGTGCCCGAGCGGTACGGGGGGGCTCCTGCTCCTGCTCCTGCTCCTCCCTCCTCCTCCCTCACCTCCTGCCTCCTCCTCCTCCTCTTTCCTCCTCCTCCTGCTCTCCGCTCCTCCGCCTCCTCCTCCTCCTCTTTTCCTCCTTGCCTCGCTCTCCGTCCTCTCCGCCTCCTCCCTCTCTGTCTCTCTCTCTCTCTGTCTCTCTCTCTCTCTCTCTCTCTCTCGCGTCCCCTCGCGCGCCGGCGTGGGTGCGGCGCGGCTGCGCTGTTCGCGGCCCCTCCCGCGGCCCGAAGGCCAGCGGCCGAGGGCGAGCGGCCGAAGAGGCCCGTCGCAGCGGACGAGGGCCATGCCGAGAACGACGCGGGGGGGGGCACTGCACCACATGGCGTGCACACCACAGCTCACATCTTCTCTAGGTCACACCACATAGTTTGCACAGCACAGTTTGCACCACATTGCTGGCATCACGTAGCCCACAGCGCAACGCTTACGCAACATACCTTGCACAACGCCCACAACACAGTTTCGAACTCCACCGTGCTACGCACTGGCTGACATCGAATGACGATCGAGGGGGAGGAACGTGAGATGTGGAAAACTACAGTTAGGATGATGCGTGCACGTAGTCGGTTTGATCCGTAGATTACGTCGTATCGTGAACAAGCATACTTTTGATCCCAGAATGTTACGGGCAACGCGAGGGGGTCACGGGCAAGGAACTAGGATGGAGGATGAGAGGGACTCGGGGAGGACCAGGAGGACCGGGAGCAGGAGGGGGAGGAGGACGACGACGACCGACGACGCCCCGTCGCCACTTGAAGGCACCGACAGACAAAAACGA